TTTATTATTTTATTTTATTTTACTTTTTTTTTTTTTTTTCTTTTTTTTATTCATCGTGAATTTAACGATTTATAATTAATTAATTAATTATTGGTAGAAACGTAGGGTACATAAATACATAATCATAATAAATAATAATGATTTTTGTTTCTTTTTTTTTTTTTTTTGTAATTATTATTATTATTATTATTACTATTGGTCAAAATTATTAGTCGATGCCGGAAAAAAAAAAATCACGCATAAATCGTACTTTTTTCCTTTCTTTCCTTATTTTTTCCTTCATTTTTTTTTTTTTTTTTTTTAAATTTACATTTATATTTCTAGCCATGCGTGCATATTTTATATAACGTGTGAACGTATGTTAAAAAAAAAAAAAAGCACTCGTGCACTCTTTTATTTACGACTGCAAATCGAATTATTCGCTTTTAAACAATAAAAAATAATAATAATAATAATAATAATAGAATAAAGCAATGCAAGGAAGAAAAAGATGAAGAAAAAAAAAAAAAAAAAATTGAAATTTTTTTTTATGTCGAAGAATTTCTTATTGAAATCATAATCATACACGATATGTTTTAAGTCTCAATTTTACTAGAGTGTAACTTTTTAAGTTTAAAATAAAAATCATTTAAATCAGATCTGTTTATTTGTTTTTATTTTTTTTAAAAAGAAAATTTCCATGAAAACCTTTCAATCGCATGATTGCCTGATATTGAAAATGAATTTTTTCTTACTTTTTTTTTTCTTTTTTGGAGTAAACTATAAATAGTACTGCTAAATGATTATTAATTATTATTTCAAAACGTGCGTGTGTTCAATCAATAAACCCCTTAATTTTTATGATTGTCTGATATTACGATGGAATATAAAAAACCATGGGAAATTAATTTTGATATATTACGCGTATGGGTTTTTATGCAAGTAGTAGGCAATGATAAATGATGAAAAAAGGTTAAAAATGAAAAAAATATATGATTTTTAATTACCTTTCTTTTTCTCCTAGCTGCCTTTTTGGGTGGTTCGTTTTTAAACAATTCAAATTCAGGTACTTCTCCATCTTCAATAAACCTATTTATTATTTCTCTTAATCTTGGTTCTTCATCACAGTTAGTGAATGGTACGCTTTCTAATATAAAATCCATATCACCTTTTCCATTTAAATAAGCCTTTTTAAGATCCATCGCTTCTTCGTTAGAATTTTTGTATTTTTTTTCATAGTCGTTAATATCTTTTTCCGATATCGGTTTAAATACTGCTTTCCAATAGCTCATCCAATCGAAATCTTCAAATACATGATCTTCTTCATCGATGCAACCTGTTTCATCATAGATTGATCTTTTTTCTTTGCAACTAAGAATAGAATGAATTTTTCCTAAAACTTTAAATTTTTCTGTCGCCTCTTCTTTTTCTGATTCGGGCACTCTATCCGGATGTACTTTAAGTGATAATTTATGATAAGCTTTTTTCACTGTAAATAATAAAAAATGTTATTCAAATCACATACAATTAATAATAAAGTTTAAAATTTATTACATTAAAAAAAAAAAACCATTTATGTATGATTTTAAAAAGAATTATTAGATTTTTGATAATAAATAAATAAAAATTAACCTTTTTTAGTTTCATTAATGTTTTAATTTCATTTTATTAATAAATATTCAAAGCAGATTAATTAATTATAAATTATAAAAGAATGATTAATTATTAAAAATTCTATTTTAATACATAAAATTATTAAATATATACTATTTATGACAAAATTTTTAAAATAAAAAAAAAAAACTTCAAAAATAATAATTTGTGAAAAGTTATTGACAGATTATGGACTCAACAATAATAATAAAAAAAATTTAATAAATTTTTGCTTAATGCAATTATGAAATGTTATTATCATTTAAATGTTTTATAATAAAATTTGTCATATTAAAACAATATTCCACTTACAGTGGTACAAATATACAAAGAAGCATTTTTAATTATAACAAAATAAAAAAATCATATACATAATAAAATACCTGATTGTCAAAATACCTTGTTTTTCAGATGCTTTTTTTGTAATTCCTAAAGCAGCATAAATATCAGATTCTCCAAAATATTTTTTACATAAAGCAATTAGACTTGTCATTTTTCAAACTTTTATTATAAAATTTGGAGGGAGACGGTTTTATGAAGCCATAAGAACAAGTTATGTAATTTTTAGGGCCCCGAAATAATTCAAACTTAATATTGTTTTTATTTATATTTAAGCCACCCTTGAATTCAAAAAAAAAAAAAAAAAAAAACAATTTGGTCAATAATTAAAAAAATAAAGTCATTTATTTTATATTGTAATTTTATTTAATTTCAGTGTAATTACAAAAAATGTCAATAGAAATAGAATCAGCCGAGTTAGTAATAAGATAAATTCAAATCC